GGGGGGGGGGGGGGGGGGGGGGGGGGGGGGGGGGGGGGGGGGGGGGGGGGGGGGGGGTTGCTGGGTCGTTGGATTTTGAGGAGTGGCCAAAATCCGGTACACCCGGTCCGATGTTTTTGGCTTTGGGGCCAAAAAAATATGTCCAGTGCCTATTGCTACGTATCTATCTCGAGTTTCTGGCGCCGCCGCAGAATTGGTGTGCCTGGGCGGTCGGAGGATTGCTCAACGACAAGAGGCACCGCGACAGCACCACCTGTGGGACACAGGATAGTATACCTCCGGACTGAAGCGTGCCTCCGGCCACTGCGTTCACTGCGTCGAGAGGTAAGCGAGAAGACNGCACCGCGACAGCACCACTTGTGGGACACAGGATAGTACACCTCCGGACTGAAGCGTGCCTCCGGCCACTGCGTTCACTGCGTCGAGAGGTAAGCGAGAAGACCTGCGGACTATTCTCTGTTGCGCGAAAAAAAGCTGCTCTTGCCACCGCGTCTTGCAGGGTTTTTTTGATGTTGCAGGGTGGGAGCTATCTCGTAGGCAAACGGGAGGTGACAGGAGTCCTGGTCATTCGAGTATCTCAGGCTGCATAACACAGGCTGCACAGCAGTGCTGCGTATGGTTGTTCATGCTTTTGTTGTTGCGGAGAGAGAGATAGAGAGAGAGAGACCGAGATGCAAATTGAACATTAATTTTTGTTGTTGCGGAGAGAGAGAGAGAGAGAGAGACCGAGATGGCAATTGAACATTAATTTGAACAGCAGCGGTTTGAACATTTTCAACCGCGACGACTCTCGTCTTGTCCACGGCAGCAGATAGAGGCAGAGGGTGCCACCGTTCACCGCATCGTCCGGGTTGACGCCAGCGGGAACCTGCATCGCTATCTGCGCCTTTCCCAAGGCAAGGTGGGGGTCTTTTTTGTGTTGCTGAAAGCTATTTGAACTTGTCATGAGACACATACAGCGCATGAGGATCTAGAGCAAATGTCCGCGGGTTTGTTTGGATCAGACCTGCTGGCAAGAAAGGCAGGGAATGGGGGGTAAAGTGTAGGTTTGTCCGAGTATTGCAGCGTGCGTGAGGGAGGCCGCAAAGCACTGTGCGCGGTTGGTCGACTCCAAATACCGTATCGGCCTTTCTCGCCAAAAAAGGGATAAACGACAGAACACCACACAGCAGTGGCGACCTTGTGTTCAATTCAAAATTTTGAATCGTTGTTTGAGAGCTGGCTCCGTCGGAGACAGCATGTGCAGACAGATCCATCGCTCACCACTAGGCTGATCATCCGAGACCAAGGTTTGGTGTCTGTATTGGCGGCAGGTCTCATGACGGATGTGTAGTGCGTCCCGTGATTCCGAAGTCAACGTGTGTCCAAACTGAAGGTGTGTGTCCAAACAGCAGTCGTCTATAATATCTTTTTTTGACTCTTTGCAACCGTGAGGGACAGGCCTGTTGTGCATGTGTGCAGGAGGTCATGCAGAACATATCCCTAGAAAGCGATCTTGCTCTTTTGTCGCATGTCTGCAATCTTACCCACATCATACGAAAGATCACCACTCTGTCGTGTGGAATATCGTATTTGGAGCCCACGGAGTCCCGCTTCCGATGTGGGGAAGGCTCCGTATTTGATGTCACGGATTGTCTTACATACGAGGCAGCAAGGCAGTGTTTGCGCGGTGAGAATAGATCTTCAGGGCTATCGCGATCCAAGGCGGTTGGGTGCGCTGATCGTGGCAGAATGTTTGCATGTAGATCGTACTTTCTGTTCATTTCGACTAGATGGGCTACCCCCACCCCCCCACATCCCCATGCACACACACACGCCCTGCACACACACATCCCCAAGCACCTGTTGTTGTTTTCATCTTTGTGGCGTTTTTGTTATTGATGCCTCACGTTGAACGTACCACCGAAAACATGTCGTCGTGCCGGAAGCGGACGAACCACCAGCAGACAAGAGGAATCTATCCGCACTTGCGCAGCAAGCGAATGCAGGGCCGCTCTCAGGGCAGACAGCCTACGCTGAGGAAGCTGACCTGACCGAAGAATTTTAGGGCTCCTGTGATGCAAATTTATGCTTTTATTCCCCACTGTTTCACGAGTCTGCGGGGCATTTTGCTCGCGAGGAAAAATGCGTCGATGGCCGAGGGAGTTGACTCCCAAAAGTGCGTCTTGAACCGAGGCTCGACTGTACCCCAAAGCAGATAGTAGTGTCAACGTCGAGATGCAGCCGTCTGCCAGTCCAGCGTACAAGTCCCCCCTCCCATTCCTCCCCGGCTCACCCCGACCCACGCCTTTGCAGGACATCGTCGTCAGATATCTCACACGTGTCACCAGCCCCCGCATCCCCGACGACGCGGGATGGCGTCGAACACGTTGAAGAGGCGCCGGTCAAGGTTGTCCCTGCCATCGGGACCGCGTGGACGTTCGATCGAGGTCGAATTCATGCCACCCCCGCCGAGGCGACCGCGAACCCACGATGTAAGTTTGCAATTTTAACCGACAATTCACATGTATGTGTCGGTGGAGGCGAAAGTGTACAGGTAATTGCCCTCTTTCCTGTCATATGCGATGAGCGTTTGCGCCGGGCGGGCAAATTGCGCCTTTTCTTTCAAAGCAAGGTTTCGCCACCACACATCGCTTTGTGAGGCGTGGGTGTGCGAGTCACTCTTGGCCATTGATCTCGTACGCGCTCGACGTCTCTCTCTCTCTCTCTCTCTCTGTGTGTGTTTTTATTCTGGCATTCTACACCTGTCGTGGCTCTTCGCCCCCCGTTGACGACCAGGGAGCCCGCGATCAGGACGGCACCGGGCCGGCGGGAACTCGCACCGGTGAGAGAGGAGAGGGTCTGGTTTGTTTTGAGTTTTGGCGGTCATCGAGGGCACGACACGCAGAGGGTCAGAGTGTTTCCAGCACGTGTGGCCAAATGCTGGCACGTGTCCCCTTCTCGTTTAGCTTACAGGCACAGGGGTCGATATTTTCGACAGATACCCCGCAAATGAGTGCTGGCCGCCCTTGGGCTTTGGCAAGCTAAAGGCTAGCTTAACTGTTATGTGCAATCACAACACAAGGGAGATGAAGGGAGGCAGAGAAGTCTCACCGTGGACAGAAGCCCTAATCATGCACTCCATGTCTCGCGCTGTAGTGGTGCTTGTGTTCCTTGCTCCCTCAACCCCACTCCCCCCCCCCCCCCCCCCCCCCCCCCCCCCCCCCCCCCCCCCCCCCCCCCCCCCCCCCC